ATTTTTTTAAATGTAATCTCTACCCCCAACATGGGGCTGGAACTCATGACCCTGAGGTCAGGAGTCACGTGCTCTACTGACTGAGCCAGCCAGGAACCCCCGATTCATGTACTTAACTTCAGTGCTATTATCCCAGAAGGGCCTTCTCTGGCCGCCCCCCAACTAGGTTAGCAATACCACCCGTCCCCAAGTTTTAGTCACCCTTTACTCCTTTTCTTTTTCTTCCTAGTGCTTACCTCCTTTGTTAAGAATAGATTCACGGGGGAGATCATTTGTGGAATGTCATTCTGCCCATCCCAGACCCTCTGAAGTGCACAGATCTAGGGCGCCTGGCTGGCTCAGTTGGTAAAGCATGAGACTCTTGATCTCGGGGTCGTGAGTTCGAGCCCCAACACGTGGTGTAGAGTTTACTTAAAAAATGGAACAAATGGGGCGCCTGGGTGGCTCAGTAGGTTGAACCTCCGACTTCGGCTCAGGTCATGATCTCACGGTCCGTGAGTTCGAGCCCCGCGTCGGGCTCTGTGCTGACAGCTCAGAGCCTGGAGCCCGCTTCGGATTCTGTGTCTCCCTCTCTCTCTGCCCCTCCCCCGTTCATGCTGTCTCTCCCTGTCTCAAAAATAAATAAACATTAAAAAAAAAATTGAGGGGCGCCTGGGTGGCGCAGTCGGTTAAGCGTCCGACTTCAGCCAGGTCACGATCTCGCGGTCCGTGAGTTCGAGCCCCGCGTCGGGCTCTGGGCTGACAGCTCGGAACTTGGAGCCTGCTTCCGATTCTGCGTCTCCCTCTCTCTCTCTGCCCCTCCCCCACTCATGCTCTGTATGTCTCTCTCTCTCTCTCTCAAAAACAAACATTTAAAAAAATTAAAAAAAAAAAAAAAAAAAAGAAGATGGAAGGGACTGAGTGAGGCAGTGAGTCACCCTGCACAGGGACCCTGAGGCAGGGCTCCGGGTCAGGCTAGACTGAAATCAACATGCCTTCCTGCTCTTGGGCTAAGACAAGTCTGTGAGTGAGCCACCTGCTCCAGAAAATACTGGCCACAGCTTACTTATCAAGGTTAATAAGTTGCTCCTCAAGGCTCCCTTTCAGGACCCTGTGCTCACCAGTCCGAAGCTATTGGGTCCCTGCCTTATAAGACCTGTCTCAAAAGCACCCAGTTGTAGGCCTCCAAACCCTGTGGGTGTCCTCCCCTGCCTTCCCCCTCCGGAGACACCAAGGACTCTCTCCAGGCACTTTTGCTTGAACAACAGGTTTTTCTAGCGACTGTTGGGAGCAAAAGGGCTGACATTCCAATGTCTGTTTCAGGGCAGCCTGGCTTTTGCTCTTCTGGAGCTACTACCTGACTTAGAAAGAAACATATCCGGGCAAGTTGATGCTGATGTCGGCCTATTAAGCATAAATCATACACCGTAAAAGTGTCCTGAGAAACCCCTTCTCGACCCCGCAGTTGAGAGTGGATACTGTGTCTCAGCTGGTCCCACTCTGCCAGCTCCCCCTTTTCCACAGGAACAAAAGAACTATTTCTTTGAGCTCTAGATGAAGCCGTTGTTTAGCGGTAAATTGAATGCAAAATGCACAGCTCTGACTTTTAATCCTCAGGCTCACATGGGAAGGTGTGGCCGGGGGCGACCAACTCCTCCTGGTTTGCCTGGGAGAGCTTCGGTGTGGGGTGGTTGTTTTTTTTAAGATTCTATTTTTGAGTGATCTCTACACCCAACGTGGGGCTTGAACTCCCCAAGCCTGACACTGAGAGTCATGTGCTCTGACTGAGCCAGCCAGGAGCCCCTGTTTCAGGTTTTTATCTTCTAATTATTTTAATTACGTTTTATGTCTTAAAAGTTTATTTCTGAGAGAGAGAGAGAGAGAGAGAGAGAGAGAGAGAGAGGAGCACGGGGGAGGAGACAGAGAGAGAGGGAGAGAAAGAACCCCAAGCAGGCCCCACCCTGTCAGCACGAGAACCCGACGCAGGGCTTGAACTCACGAACCGTGAGATCACGACCTGAGCCGAAACTAAGAGTCGGGTGCCTAACTGACCGAGCCACCCAGACACCCGTTTCCATTTTTTCAAACTGAACATCCCACATCCTAAGAACCCCTCGGTCCCAGAACAGTTGGTCACCCTATAAAAGGGTATCTCTGGGAGAGGCACACTGGCACCAAGACTGACCCAGGGACCACTGGGGATAAGAGTCCTTGACTCCCTTCCTTGCAGCCACATGCTCGAGTGGGTTGGTGGACAGACTCCGTGAGAAAATTTCTATCAGTGTAGAATGGGCAGAATAGCCCTGGAAGGAGGCACAGGAAGGTGGCTTCCGGGGATGAGAGCCTGGGTTGTGGGTTTCGGGCAAGGAAGGGACACTTTACTCTTCGCTCTTTCGATGCCTTTGGGTTTTTACTATGCAGATGTACGCCTGCTTAGGAAAATGCACCTATTTAGAAATAAAATGTTATTTAACACCCTTTTCTTTGCAGAAGGTGCACATCTATGTGTTTGGGTAAGTCAAAGGGACTCAGCATGAGGGTTCCCTCCTTTGTCTCTGTAACTACGCTCAACCTGCATGTGAATTCTCCAAGTTAATGTGCTTTTCTCTACATTTCTTGAGTGCAGACATGGGCTACGGGATACCTTTGTTTTCTCCATAGTCCCCCTGAACTCACATCTCCGTCCTTAGTGCTAACTGCTCCCTTATTTATTTCTTTGAAAAGTTTGCCTTGGGGCGCCTGGGTGGCTCAGTCCCTTAGGCATCTGACTTTGGCTCAGGTCATGATGTCAGGGTTCATGGGTTTGAGCCCCACATCCGGCTCTGTGCCCACAGCATGGACCCTGGACCCTGCGTGGGCTTCTGTGTCTCCCCCTCTCTGCCCCTCCCCCGTGTGTGCTCCCAGGGGCTCTCTCTCAAAAATAAACAAATAAACAAAAGAAGAGAAAAGTTTGCCTTAAAGGCCCAGAATCTAAACTTCTTCCAGTGGCTATACAACAAGCCCACTGTAAATTGCTTATTAATAATTAACTCACCTCCCTGGCATGCATTTATATGTTTAGACATTAATTTGTTCTCTGCTTAAGGAGAAGACAATTCTGTTGCTGTAAGAAGTTGTAGGTTTTTGGTAAGTCCGCCTGGGCTGGCCCCTCCCTCTTTCAGAGACCGGCTAGGGACTCAGAAGGCAGCCTCTTGAGCAAGGCTGGGACAGGGGGAGGCCGGCGAGGCCCAGGGCCCCACATTTAAGGAGGCCAGGTGCGGACTCTCAGGCACGCACTCTGGACTCATGAGCGTCTCCTTAAATGCTGGTTCTGGAAGCCTCGGAGGGGCGGGGCGGGGCGGGGACAGGTACTAGCCCTACTTTTCAGTAGAGGGCTGATGAGTCCTGGCTCTGTGACTGACCAGGAGGTGGGCAGGTGCAGTGATACTTAATGTCCCAGAGTCCCTGGGTCTTCAGCTACGAGGTGGGGTTCTGGGTGAGGATTAGGGGCGCGCCAGCATACTGCCAACGCCCCCCTCTTTGCTGTCCCTTTACCATTTCTGCCCAGGGCCAAGCCCCAGGCCAGGCGCTCTCTGTAGTTTATTTCTTCCTAACTGACACAGGAGAAAATGAAGAACCAGGCTGGGAGGGCAGCAGAGGCTCTGAAGCCAGGCCTCTCTGACCCTCATTACCCAAACACCGGAGGCTTTATTTTTCTTTTTTTTTTTCAACGTTTATTTATTTTTGGGACAGAGAGAGACAGAGCATGAACGGGGGGAGGGGCAGAGAGAGAGGGAGACACAGAATCGGAAACAGGCTCCAGGCTCCGAGCCATCAGCCCAGAGCCTGACGCGGGGCTCGAACTCACGGACCGCGAGATCGTGACCTGGCTGAAGTCGGACGCTTAACCGACTGCGCCACCCAGGCGCCCCCGGAGGCTTTATTATAAACGGCAAGATGATGCTTTCAGAGTGGTGCTGTTCAGTCCTCACTGGGCATCTCTATCACCTGAGGAATCTTTAAAAGCACAGATGCCTCCCCAAATCCTGGATTAATTGGTCTGGGGACAGGACTAGGCACTGATACACTTTTTAAGGAGCCCAGCTGATTCTAATGTGCAGCCAGGTTGAGAATCCGCGTTCTTGGAACTAAAAGCTTTAGATTAGCTCTAAAGAGAACTTGAAGGGGCATTTACAAAAATTTTAAAACAACGTTTTATTTATTTTTGAGAGACAGAGGGTGAGCAGGGGAGGGGCAGAGAGAGAGGGAGACACAGAAACTGAAGCAGGTTCCAGGCTCTGAGCTGTCAGCACAGAGCCCAATGCAGGGCTTGAACTCCTGAACCATGAGATCATGACCTGAGTCAAAATCGGATGCTCAACCGACTGAGCCACCCAGGTGCCCCTAAGATTTTATTTTTAAGTCATCTCTATGCATAACGTGGGGTTCAAACTCAGAATCCTGAGATCAAAAGTGGAATGCTCCAGTGACTGGGCCAGCTGGGGGGGCGCACAGCTACTAAAGAGCGGTGCGTGTGTATACACACATCACAACCAACTCAGGATTGTAGCTTTGCAGCCGGTGAGACAATGTGGGTTTCCCCAACCCCCCCAGTCCCAGCTCTACTCCTCAACAGCTATGCCTTGGGGGAAATCTCGTTACCTCCCTAAATCCACCTGAGCACTCTCCGAAACACCTTAAGCACTGATCGAGGGACACAGGGTGGAGCTTAATCAAAACGTCTGAGTTGGGGAGCAAGGGGGTGCGGGTTAGGGCTGGGTAGGGCTGAGAATTTGCATCCCCCCGCAAATTCCCAGGGGCCGCTGCCGGTGGTCCAGGGGAAACACTTTGAGAACCGCTGCTGTGAGCTGATCGTAATTAACAACCCTGATGAGGTTCACCAAGGCCCATTTCAGATCAATCCTCAGTGCCTGCCAGCTGCCTCTCATGGCATCCTCACAGCAGTGGGGTCTCATCATCACCATTATTTCTCGGAGGTGATGAAGCAGGCTCCCAAACGCGAAAAGGCCGCGTCCAGGGTCACAACAGGCCGAAAGCGGCGGAAGTGTGGGTTTAACCAGAACTAGAAGCAGGACAGGACCTGCGCAGTCGACTTCCTGGCAGACACCACGGCAAGCTCTCCGACCACCTGCTTGAGCTCGCATCCAAAACCGCGCGGCACACCCCGGGCTGCAGCCGCCAGAAGCCTTCCTGCCTCCCACGCGGGGAACACCAGCGCCTCGCAGAGAGCCTGCGTTCGCCTCCGTGGAGGCCTGGCGCCTCCTGGTGGTCGTTCGGGGAACAGCGCCGCGCCGCCCAGGCTGGGCGCTCTGCTGTCTTGAGTGAGTCATCGGTATTCTTACTAACATGGAAAATATTATTCAGTCCATTCCTTCCTCAGAAAGAACTCCGGGTGTTGAAAAGGGGTGGGGACTTTAGAACTGAGGAATGTAAAGGAAGGGCGGTGGACCGGGCCCTGGGGAGCTCAGGGGGCTGGGGTAAAAGGGTAAAGATGGGGAAAGCACAGCTGAGAACAATCCGGGCTTTCACCTTTTGACCTTCCCAAGATTCCTGCTGAGGAATTTCCAGAACCAAACCTCCAGGAGCAGTTGCAAAAGGCCGGTGTGTTCTCTCCGTGCCTGTGCCTGCTTCCAGAGCCGGTCCATTTCTTCTTTCGTCTATTCACTCAATGGGTATATAGTTTTGAATTTTATTTTTTATTTTTAAAAATTTACATCCCAATTAGCATCCAGTGCAACAGTGATTTCAGGAGTAGATTCCTCAGTGCCCCTTCCCCATTTAGACCATCCCCCCCCATAACCCCCCCAGTAACCCTCTGTTTGTTCTCCGTATTTATGAGTCTCTTCTGTTTTGTCCCCCGCCCTGTTTTTAGATTATTTTTGTTTCCCTTCCCGTGTGTTTATCTGTTCTGTGTCTTAAAGTCCTCATTTGAATGAAGTCCTATGATATTTGTCTTTCTCTGACTAATTTCACTTAGCCTAATACCCTCCAGTTCCATCCACGTAGTTGCAAATGGCAAGATTTCATTCTTTTCGGTTGTCAAGTAATACTCCATTGTATATATATATGCGACATCTTCTTTATCCATTCATCCATCAATGGACTTTTGGGCTCTTTCCATACTTTGGCTGTTGTAGATGGTGCTGCTATAAACACGGGGGTGCGTGTGTCCCTTCGAAACAGCACACCTGTATCCCGTGGATAAATACCTAGCAGTGCAATTCAATGGATATTTTTAAGAGCCTACTATGTGCCTGCACTTTTCTAGGTGCTGGAGATACAGAAATAAACAGAACAGACAGGATCCCTGCCTCCGTGGATGCTTTCCCACCAGAGAATGAATGAATGAATGAATGAATGAATGAACCCATGGAGGAAAATGAGAAAAGGGGGTGGGGACCTCAAAGGGAAGATGACATTTAAGCAAAAACTTGAGGGAGGCGAGGGAAAGAGGCAGATATCTGGGGGAAGAACATTCCAGGAAGACAGAATGGTAGGAGCAAAGGCCCTGGGGCAGGAGCCAGTATGTATGTTTGAGCACTTGGACCAGGTTCTTGAAAATAAAGTGGGATCTATTTTATATTAGCTAGGATCCACTTGTTCTGTTATTAATTACACTAGACTGACTCACTGTCAAAACCAAATACTTCAGCCTGATCAGGGCAGGTTGAGGAGAGCACAGGAGGTGGGAAAGGGTGAGTTAGTAGCAATAAACAAGGCTTGGAGAGAGTTTACTTTAAAAAAGAGGAGAGGGGCACTTGGCTGGCTCCTTCGGTAGAGCATGCGACTCATGGTCTCAGGGTCATGAGTTCAAGCCTGTTTTGGGGGTAGAGTTTCCTTAAAAACAAAACAAACCCTAAAAACAGGAAGGGGTCCAAATGGATAAGAAATACTAAGACTCATGTGCATGTTGACTTTGAATGGCCATAGGTTTTGGGTCCTGAAACTGCTCGCTGTTTTCTTTTCGTTTTTCTTTTCTTTTCTTTTCTTTTCTTTTCTTTTCTTTTCTTTTCTTTTCTTTTCTTTCTCTCTTTTTCTTTCTTTCTTTCTTTCTTTCTTTCTTTCTTTCTTTCTTTTCTTTCTTTCTCTTTCTTTCTTTCTTTCTCTCTCTCTCTCTTTCTCTCCTTCTCTCTCTCTTTTTCTTTTAAGTGTTTTATTTATTTATTTTTGGGGGTGGAGGTCAGAGAGAGGTGAGAGACAATCCCCAGCAGGCCCTGCACCGTCAGCCCAGAGCCTGACCTGGGGTTTGATCTCACGAACCACAAGATCATGACCTAAGCCTACCAGCATCTGTGTCTCCATCTGCTTGTGCAGTGGCTCCTGGGAGCATTGCCTCCAGTGACCCTTCCGTCTCCTCAATGTCCTTGACCTCTGCCGTGGGGTCTGAATAGCCAGGCCCGAGCTGTAGCAGCGTCTGAGTGCCATGCTGTCGCCCTCCCATGCTGCACATGGTTCTGGAGGCACTGAAGGCAGCAGAGCAAGGGCACTGGAGCGTCCTTGCCAGGCCCACCAACCCTAAGGCCAAGGAGGAGATTGCGTAAAAATAAAATCTTGTATTTAAGCGGAGCTTGGAGGATGAAGAAGGAACTGGCCACGTGAAGGCGCTGGACAAAGTCTCTCAAGCAACATGCCTCCGGAAGGGAATTTGAGAAACCAAGATGGCGGGGGCGGAGGGGGGGTGCAGCTAGACTGATTGGAGTATAATGAAGGAAGCCGAGAATGGATGAGGTGAAATCCGAGGCCAGGGGCAAATCGTGGAGGATCTTGAAGGCCCTGGAGAAGAGTTCGGGTCTTATCCTGGTTGTTTTGGAAAACCCATGGCGAATTTTAAGTAAGGGTCTCTGGCATGGCTGGATTTTTTCAGATTCACCTAATTGCCGGGTGGACAAGTATTCGCAGTGGAGCCAGAGTGGAGGCAGGGAGACCAAGCGATGGTGGGTGGTGGAGAGGGGGATGGGAGCCAAAGCCCACAGGGATGCTACTCCTGGATGGGAAATGAGACAAAACAGAAACTGAGAGCTGCTCCCTACTTTTGTGCTCATCAAAGCCCAATAGAAGGGCGCAGATTTTGGCGGGGCAAGAGGCAATCAAAGATTCTGTTCTGCACCATTGGCAATGGCTAGAGATGCTACTCTACAGATCTGGATGTGCTCAGGGGACAGGAGACATAACCGGGGAAGTCATCGGCTTTGAGACGCCATTTAAAATCTTGATACTGGGGGCGCCTGGGTGGCTTAGTTGGTCGAGCGCCGACTTCAGGTCACAGTCTCATGGTTTGTGAGTTCGAGTCCCCCATCAGGTTCTCTGCTGTCAGCGAGGAGCCTGCTTCAGAACCTCTGTCCCCCTCTTTGTGCCTCCCCTGCTCCTGTTGTCTCTCCAAAATAAATAAACATTTAAAAAAGAAATAAAAGTAAACTCTTGATACTGAACAAGATCCTCTAGAAAGAGGGCAGTTCCCAGGGTGCCTGAGTGGTTCAGTCAGTGAAGCAAGTGTCCAACTGCTGACGGCTTTTATGTATATATGTATAATGTGTGTGTGTGTGTATGTATGTATATGTATACATGTATATATGTGTGTATATATGTGCATATATGTGTTTATGTATACATGTATATACATATATGTGTGTATATATACACGTATATGTATATACAAGTATATATGTATACATATATACTCATATAGATATATGTATACATATATATACATACACATATATATTTTTAGGGAAGAGAAGGCTTTATTGATAAATAAGTTACAATGAAATAGATAGAGTGATGGTTTGTTGGGGAATAAAAACTCAAGCAGAATCTCAGTCTCTCTCCAGCCTGGCTCTAGCCTTCAGCTTACAGGTCAATGTGGAGGAGGAGGCCTGTGTGGGCATGCTGGGCCTTCTGGGCCCTTGGGGGCCTCTGTCTTCCTGGCCAGGTGTTCAGCCACTGTCTTAGACCCACCGCCCCTAAGAAGAGCAGCAGCCTTGACTCTGGGCCCCATGTTGGCCCCTTGGGCAACAGCCTCTTTAGGGACCTCGCTTTCCTTCTTTTTGGCTGGAGAAGCGTCACTAATCTTGCCCTTGGGAACTGTGGATTTTGAACTCTGACTCCTAGCTTTTGTGTTCACGTGGGCCTCACCGTCTTGGCTTCTCCTTGTGCCTTTGACCTTGGACTTCCCACTGGAGCCAGGGGCACTAGGAAGGGTCTGGCTGGCCTTGTCGGGCTGCTGGGAGGCCTTCCTGGCCTCACTCAGTCTTGCCTCTTGGTCTTTGGTCTGGCTGCCTTTCTTGGGAGCTTCTCGGCTGCACCTGGTTTGGGAGAAACCTTGTCCTCACCTTTCCTGGCGTCATGGGTCCCCTTTTCACCTCACCTGGGTTGGGAAGGTCCTTCTTTGCCTCTGTTGGTTGTTTGGGGTCCTTCTCTTGGCCTCACCAGGCCTCCTGGGGGCTGTCATGGTGGATGTCTTCCCTGGTTGGACTTTCCTTTTGTGCTTGGGAACTCAGTTAAGCTGCCGGAGGCCCCAGCATGGGGCTCGAACTCACGACCCCAAGATCAAGAGTTGCACACCCCACCAACTGAGCCAACCAGGTGCCCCCCAATAAATCTTTATAAAAAAAGAAAAGGGGTTCCTGGGTAGCTAAGTTGGTTGAGCATCCCACTTTGACTCAGATCATGATCTCGCAGTTAATGGGTTTGAGCCTCGTGTCGGGCTCTGTGCTGACAGCTCAGAGCCAGGATCCTGCTTTGGATTCTGTGTCTCCCTCTCTCTCTCTGCCCCTCCCCTACTCATCCTCTGTCTCTCTCTCTCTCAGAAATAATCCTTAAAATATTTATTTATTTAATTAATTTATTTAAATTTACATCCCAGTTAGTTAGCGTCTAGTGCAACAATGATTTCAGGAGTAGATTCCTTAGTGCCCCTGACCCATTTAGCCCATCCCCCCTCCCACAGCCCCTCCATTAACCCTCTGTTTGTTATCCATATTTAAAAGTCTCTTATGTTTTGTCCCCCTCCCTGTTTTTTATATTATTTTTGCTTCCATTCCCTTATGTTTATCTGTTTTGTATCTTAACGTCCTCATATGAATAACGTCCTATGATATTTGCCTTTCTCTGACTAATTTTGTTTAGCATAATACCCTCCAGTTCCATCCACGTAGTTGCAAATGGCAAGATTTCATTCTTTTCGATTGCCGAGTAATACTCCATCGTATACATATACCACATTTTCTTTATCCATTCATCCATCGATGGACATTTGGGCTCTTTCCATACTTTGGCTATTGTCGATAGTGCTGCTATAAACATGGGGGTGCATGTGTCCCTT